AATAAAACTACTTCTATTTCTAGTAAATTATAATATTTTTGTATTTTGATAAAATGATTAGTGGCAACTAATTCGCCCAATAACAATTTAACTTTAGTGTCATATTAATTCATGCTAGTTTATTAAAACATATTTACAGTTATTACATTATTTTCATTACTTTAGTTTAAAATTATTGCAAAAATAACAAATTACCTGTCTAAATAAAACAAATTGACCACAATAATACCCAGGCTATAAACATCGGACTCTGGATAATAGCGGCCATTGAAACACTCGGGCGCCATATAGCCCAGAGTGCCGGCACCGGCAGTCAGTGTAATACTCTCACTTGCTTTGGCTTTAATCAGGGCTAAACCAAAGTCACAAATCTTACAAAATATTCCGTTCCCGGAATTCTCCACAAACAGAATGTTCGCCGGTTTTAAGTCCCGGTGTATAACCGGCGGGTCTAAGCCGTGCAGGTATTCCAGTCCGGACACTAGTTGCCGGAATATTTTGCACGATAACAAGTAGTCTATGGGGTGTCGATCCGGTTGTGTCTCAAGTTGGGAGTCCCGGTCAGTCCCAATCCCGCTATTGTTACCGATATCTATACCAAAAACCCTGGCCTTTAGTGTCATAACGTCTTTGAGATTATGGCCGCAAAACTCCATCTGAATGTATATAACGTTGCGCTCAACCCATGCGTCAAAACACTTGACCACATATACACTGTGTAGTGATGTTATAGTTTTCATTTCATGTATTGCTTTTGCCCGTAAATTTTCTGTTTGGTAAAATAATTTATTAAATAACCTTGTTTAATTATGTAGAATGTAAACTTACCCTCAATTAACACTTTTTTCACGGCGTATATTTTGCGGTTAGATTTTTGGCGCACTTTATATACAGTGCCAAAGCCGCCGGTTATACCCTCGTTAAGGGTATCAAAATCATCGGTAAAGTTTGGACACATTTTTTTGCACAGTTTAGTAATTGTGTTATAATTTAATGAATTAATTAATGCAGTAACATATAATAATAAATATCATTTAGTAATGCAACATGCACATGATTTTTTCTACCATAATTATTTTTATGAATACAGTATAACCATAAATTAAAGCAATTNATGATTTTTTCTACCATAATTATTTTTATGAATACAGTATAACCATAAATTAAAGCAATTAACATTCTATAGCTATTACTAATACAGAGATAGCATTCACTTATCTAAACTAAATTGGAGTAAGTACTTTTGCTAATTAAACATCTACATCATTCCCTAAATAAATAGAGTTTGCTATCGATTGTAACATGTAATCAAGGTTGTAATAAATATGAGTTTAAATTTAATTCTGTCTAAATCGGCTACATTAATACTTATAATTTTATGTTACAAAATAATGTAGTAATAATAAGACGACTAAGGTAATTAACATACATGTATTTTAAAAATGGACTCATTTAATACATTTCGTATTTTTTTACTACCAGGCACAATGTAGTTGTATTTATGATTCAATCACCATCGGCTTTTTAAATTAATATTTATAATCCGGTTTTGTATTAGGTAATGACATAATTTATCTATTCATGTAAAGTAAAATTTTAGTAATTTGTTGTTAATCTGTAGCGATGCGTCGTAAGTACCAAAAAATATAACTAATTAACTTACAATACAGTTAAAATATTGTTTTAATGTTTATTTACAGTTATCAACATAATTAATTTTTATAAATCAGATTCTTATTAAACATATAAAAATTAATAATTAATAAAAATATATAGAAAGTAATTAAATAAATAACAAAATTACTAAATAATTAAAAATACTTATTATTTTATTATGTTTACTTTAATTTCAATTATCAATTCAAATATTTTTATTTAAAATGCGTCAATATAAAATAAGCCGTGTCATTGATTGGCTAATACCCGGCGCCCAACTTATGTGCCGACAATTGCGGTGTTTGCTCTCCAAACCAGGCCTTAGGTGCGCCCAAAACGGGCGCTACCTTTTGATCCGACACTTGTTCGCCACGGGATTGAGTCTCTCGATAGACAAACCACACACTCAGCGCCCATAAGAATACATTAACAAAACCACAAATCTATGTATAATAAACAAACAATGTAATTTATTAAACAACCCATTAGCAACATTTATATAACAATAAGGTAGTTAATAAATACTTGTGATATATTGAGCATGGTCCACTTCCCGGGGTTTGACTCATAGCACTCGCCGACAGGGTTAGCGCTCTCAGCTGTGTTGGGGAAACTACAAAAATCCAGCCCTAGCCACAAATTACTTGGACTCGCAAAATAACGTATTTTATGTACGGTTACCGCCCATACAGTGGTAGCCACCGGACAAACTATGGCCAACATAATGGTGCCAATCATGTCAATGGTGGCCCATAATGGACGTCCAGCGCATGCGTGTAGACCGAGTGCGGCCATTGAGTATACGGCGCATATAAGACACGTCATGGCGTAAAAGTGGGCGCCAAATGAGTAATCATTTTGATATGTGGTTCTCTGTCGAGCGTCGGTAGTGTTAGCGCAGCTCCGGTAGGGTCTAAGTGTTTGATCCGTGAATTTGAACGGATACTCGACGTTAAACATGAATTTTTCCTTAAAAATTAAGATTGTTTACATAAATAGTTATTGAAATATCTAGATAAAGAACCAATAATTTAAATGACCTTATCTCTTCGGGATATTTTTGTCAAACTATTTAAAGAAATTTTACATGTGTTTTTATGGAAATGTACTGTAGTAATTTCTGACTTAAGATTGTCCATATAACTAGGCACATTTTATATATTCATAAAATTGTTATGAGCAATGTTTTCTTATTAAGTACCTGATATTTTGCTTAAAATATTAGTTCTCGAGATATATACAGTAGATATATGGTCAAATAGAAATCACATTGGTAATTTTAAACCACAATTAATATATGAAGAATGTGGTTTATTTATCTGTATATTAATAAAAAAAATTTATGCAACTATTTTCCCTAATTTTAATTTGATCTAAATGATAAATTATTATTAACTTTTTCTATAACTAATGCTTAATGAAAACTTATGGTCACATTATAATAAAATGATAAATCTTAAAAGTATACTTTAAAGTACGGGGAATAATGGGTACCCGCTATCTTAGTAAAGCGGGTGCACGTCATGGTGAATGATGTTACCGTGTCAAAACCAATCGTGGCCATAAAGGCTGATACGGCGCATCCCTGTATATAATATTGCAATTAAAAATAAATATTTAATTTTTTCTATTCAAATAAGTTATGGCGACACACTAACCAAGGTTATGATCCGGATATTAATTAAACATATTTTGTTGCACATGACGCCCATGTCTTTCAATTTTGTAACCCAATAATTTACAGCTAATAAATATATTATAAATTTCAATAAAATTAATTGTTTTAAATGTGAAAATAATTGATAGTGTATACTTTGAAGTTTAAAATATACATTGACTGATACTATTTTAATTAGTGTTTACTCACCTTTAAATAGCTGCTGATTAAATAGCTGTTGGTACATTTATAATAATAATATAATCTACGATTGAATTAGATTGTTTAATTGTTGATGCAACTTTTTATAAACTGATCATGAAACAAGAACAATTAAATATCTGTAGATAATTAAAACGCTGAGTCAACAATTAATTAAAATAATGCAGATTTATAACAGTAATTGCAATTTATACAATATATTCAAACAATCACCAATTGGTAACATTAATTTATAAAATTTTATAAATATTATTCGCAATATAACTTTATAAAAATAAATTACAATAACACAGGATTGTTCTAGCATGAAATGTCATATAACACATTATTCAATTATGCTCAAATGTGTTTTTCTCATCAAACAGGAATTTTAATGTAAATTTAAAAAATACAAAAACTACACTATATATGTTGTTATAAGTGTATGATTTCTGGGATTAATTTTTAATTTATTTAAGGTTTTAATTTTTACAAGGCTTTAATAATTTTAATATAGTATTTCTTATTTATAATTTAATCGAATTAATTATTTTAAA